TTCCAGCTGATGTTATTACCAGATGTCTTGTATTTTGTCTTGGCAATAGAGAAACGTGTCTATGGGCTCAATTACAGCGATGACGGGCGCTGAATGAAAGGGGCTGATTCATGCACACAATGGCAAGACATCTGCATGAGATCCCTATTAACCTTAGTGGCAGACACCTTGGCCTAGGCACACATTTTATTAGGCATTGCCATGGCCACGGCATTTACAGTGGTGGCTGAAAAATAAAAGAGAAATCAACCGCCGCAGCTTCACTGCAGAGTTGCCGAGAGGTTTGTTATTATAGTTCCATTTTGGATTTTCCACTGCCCCTGTTATGTTCTGTTTTTAATATAATTTGTATTTCAAGATGTATTTAAATGATTCATTCAGTAATGTAGTGTTGACATGCAGTAGTTTGGTAACCACATGCAGCAGCTTATAGATTCATCATAGGCCATTAATGTGTGGAGTGCTTTAAATGAGGTGATAGGGATGATGATTATGATGATGATGACGAGGACAAATGCACTTGTTTTAGCAAACATGCAATCAGTAAGTAATGTAGTATCTAATTTCCCTGAGCTTCCAAGTCTGTGTACTCAACACGCTGGTGGATTATACGCTGCAGCTGGGATTTGGAATTATAGGGGCCCCTGAGAGGAGGCCCACCCAGGGCCAGCTCCCAGCTCCTGAACGCCCGCCTCCCTCCCCATGTGTCAGGAAGGCTGACTGATTCTCATCAAGATCCTTTACCTCCCCATGAACCAGCAGCGTCTGCATCACACCATGGCGTCAGCGCTTTTAATTGATCAAAAGACATTTAACAAAACACAGAATCAGATGTAACTGTCCCTTCTACCATTACGGCTGGGAGCAGCTGCTCCTTTGGGATCATGTGTGTGGTGTAGTATAGAATGGTGAGTCAATTTCCTGACAATGTTGTAGTGTGCACTCACAAGCTGGGCAACATAAAAATGGTTTTGCTAGCATTTTGATAATTCATTAATCAGTTTTGTTAGCAAATTGAAAATCTTTTGGTTTTGACTTCAGATCGGTCAAAAGATGTGATGAGTATATCTAGCAGTATATCTGCAATGATTATTCAATTTCTTTGGAAAAAAATATGCATCTAATTTGATGATAAATTAATAATTTTCAAGAAAAATATCCAACAATTAGCTGTTGCATCATATTATATAAAAGGATCCACAAACGGCCATGCCTTGTAGGAAATAAGAATTTAAATGTTGTACAAAACACATATTCAAATAATCTAGAAAATTACTGGCAGATTAATCAGCAATACAAATAATTGATAGTTGCAGGCTTCAGAACATACAGTTAGACTATTTCATACCAAAAACAGACAGAAACCCTGACAGTGGAGAATTTAGCAAATAGCGTGAATTATTTGTATTATGGTTATTATTATTTCCTGGTTCTGCAGTTGAAGCAAAGTTATTAACCAATCTTTTAGTTTGCATGACCTGACACAGCATGGATAATGGGCCAGGAACTCATAGGAAACCTTTTTACAGTACTGTATGCAGCACCTGCATTCTTAGCAACCAAACATGTTAGTGGTAATGATAGAATAAAGGTGGAAATCAGCTTTCTTTTACACACTCCTGTCCATTCTGAGGGCATGTGATAATTGCATTTCTCTCATGTCAAACAATTCCATGAGTGCACACTATATATCAAAAAGGTTAGCGGACTGATGTGATTTTTTGATAGCTGTGAAGACCAAATGGGGTAACATAGAAATCGGATGCTATCTCGATAATAGAAAATATATGCTCTGACAGACTGCTTGGGCTGAGAAAAACTAACTGTACATATTCTTGAAAGATACAATCTCAAAGAAAGTAGATGGATGTAGAAGGGAACGATGACAGGCGTCTACAGACAGTACTAATGGCAAATTATATTCTCTCTCAGGAAGAATATTTGGCAGGGCAAGTGCTGTCTCTCCACTTTGAGGGGTAAAATGCATCCCTTGTTTGAGGATGAATCGTGATGTGGAGAGGCTTGCTTTTGGTGACATCAAATGACACTGGAAGGTCAGTGGCACTTGTATCTGTTAAATGGATTGGATTAAGTGGCGGCTGCCTCCTAGTCTGCTGCTTCCTTTCATAATGCAGCTTTTCTTTCTGGGAGGTGGCAAGCACGGGAGGTACTGTTCTACTCCACAGTTTCGCTCCATAGCGCCGGGAGTGGTGACAGGTGCAAGAAAATGTCTCGTGGCATTAAGGGAATTGAAAAGACATTTACTTTACACACACATTTTTTTTCTCTCACTGCTCTTTGTTTAGTGGGTTTGAGCGAGTGCTTGCTACTATTAAAGCTAGAGGCTGTTTTGGTAGGAGACATCAAACCCATGTGTGTTCCCTGCAAAGGCTTCAAGAAAGGAGGCGTCAGTTGAATGTGCGTACTGGTTATTCAGCAGACATTAGGCATTCCTGCGTTGAGACATCTCTCTCACAGCCGAAGACTGAAGAACCAGGACGTTAGCATGAAGCTACGAGTGTCAGACTCACTGTTGTGACTTTGATGATGCTGAGCAGGGTTTCCAACAAAGTGTGCATCCAATTGAGGGGTAAAGCAGCATGCAGTATTTCCAGGATAGGTTAAGCCTTGGCCTTTTCAAACGTGATGTAAAACACAAACGTGATATGTTTAAAGAGTGTGTAGCGGGTAGTGGTCTCAACCAATTAGGAGTAGTTCTCTGGAGGTGGGGGTCCGACCTTTTTGTACAATTAGTTCTCTCATTTAAAGCAAAGAATTTGAGTAGAATAACTAATTAGGTGTCATAAAAGGCAAATTAAAGTTTTTTGTGATCCCGGAGGGAGTTGCAGCAACTCCTTTCTTTTTCTTTACACAGGCTCAGAAGCACACGCATGTACACAGACACAGACACAGGCCTTTCCTCTCTCCTCATTAAGACTGTTTTTAGTTCTGTAGAAGGCTGTCAGACGAGCACTGTTGGCATACCTGCAGAGAGCTCCCCTAACAAGCCATGAAATGCAGGTAGAAGAGTCCGCCCTTAGCCAGTGTGGCTTGAATTTGAAGCTTTTTAGCTTCATTTACACTGAACATTGGTATTTATAGCAGGTTTTGTGATCCTAATGTGCCAGCTTCAAGGGGCCTGTTTTTGAGAGGGAGGGAGGTGAGGGAGCTGGAGGGCAGGTAGAACACTAATTGATGGCTCCCATCAGCAGCACCGGACCAATTAGCCTCTCCTTTCCACTTCTGATAAAGAAATAAGATGGCTCACCAGCACCAGAGCACTTACTGACATATAAACCAAAGCCATACATTTGACTAACAAGCTCTCCTATTTTTCTTTTTAAAAAGGGGAAATGCTAATTATATTACATTCATAGCATTATTGATGTGTGGATGGCCAAAAACTGCAAAGCAAATCTGGATCAAATAAGGTACTTTGTGAGTCCATTTAGGTGTGCAGATATGTGTGTGCAAATGCGAGAGACAGAAAGAGAGAGAGAAAATGTGCTTTTCTGTTCGGAAGAAGTCCTTTGAAACGTGGTATAATGTTTTTGTGAAAGAGAATTAACTTGACAGCAGAGAGAAAAACAGTGCTCAGAGTGAAGCAGTTGCTTGTTACCAGCTGAGGTTGTGTAAAGCAAACTACAGACGTTACAGTAAAACAGCAGCTCCAACTACAGAATGACCCCATCTACACGTAACATTGTTAAAACTGTGCATACTTTCCTCCTGATGAAATGGAATTAAAGTTTATCTGATCGGGACAAAGTGTACAACTGCACATCTCTAGAGTGCAACAGTAACACAGAAACACAACACAAAACACACAAAACATTTTGTACATAACTCAGCTCAACGTGTCTTTTAAATGGGCCTTTATAGATACTCACACATACAAAATGCTGGCCTAACCCCCTGTGATGCAGAGTGTCCGGTCTTTTTTTTAGAGGGAGAGAAATGTGTTTTGAAAGTAGAGTGGCAAGTGGCGTCCACTGTGTGTTCTTTTAGATGGATCAATAGCTCAGTGTGTGAGAGAGTGTCTTAAGAGCTGTTGTCTTGTGCTTTCAGCTGTGGCAGACCTGTTAGTGCTACAGAGGGGAGCTGCGCGCCCCTGTCTCTGTACCAGCAGTGGCCTGAGGGGGGCTTTTAGTCCAAACACAAATGTCAGCCACACATAGACTATTAGTGTTTAGTGCAGTTATTAAATGGACTTTATTTGTCCTTTAGGAGGCTAAAAGGCACGCTTAAAGGGGACCTGCGTGACAGCAGGGCAATTTGCGCGTTTGGTAACTTAGGCTCGCTCGTTGCCGACACATGAGTACAGATAAGTGTAAAAGGAGGAAAGGCTGTAATGCTCTGAGTAGGGAACACTGTGTGTGTGTTTGTGGTTTTGAGTGTGCAACCGTGTGAGAGAGTTTGTGTGTGTGTATGAAACACAGAGAGTGAGTGTATGCTAAAAGGCACTTAGGCCATAACATATCTCACTGGGGTCTGGTAGCAACGTTTTTGTGGTCAGAGGCTTTTTAAAAGGTTAATGTTAATCTATACCAAACAAAGCCCATGAGGAGCTTTTACAGCTGTAGACAGTTGAGGGAAATGGGCTTGATGAAATGGCAGGTAACTAACATACTACTCAGCACGCTGTAAATACCTCAGTAAGCAAAATAAACATTGTGTCTTTTATCCTCAGAAATACACAGGACATGCCCCTTCCTCTGAAACCCGCTGCAAGTGATCATGTAACTTTTGTATTACAGCATGTTCTGAGTGGAACAAGTAAGTGAGGTCTTTGTAGTGCAATGTGACCTGTGAGCCTATCTACATGGAAGAATGTTTTCTTTAATGCATATGAAGCAGGTAGGCAGCGTGCTGTGGCCACGCGCGAGGCCAGGCTTAGACGCCTGGAGAAGCAGCCGGCTTATCAAAAAGAGAACATGAAAAGTCACTCGTGTTCCCGGGCCGTAAATCACGCATGGCTGTTTGTCTCCTTATCACTACAGGTGTGCCCATGCTCTCCGTCCAGCCCAAAGGGAAACAGAAGGGGTGTGCCGGCTGCAATCGCAAGATTAAAGACCGCTACCTGCTCAAGGCCCTGGACAAATACTGGCATGAGGACTGTCTCAAATGTGCCTGCTGTGACTGCCGCTTGGGGGAGGTGGGCTCCACCCTGTACACGAAAGCCAACCTCATCCTCTGTCGCAGGGACTACCTGAGGCAAGAAAGACACACAATCACCTCTCTCCACTCACAACAAACACAAAAGCCATGCCATCCTTAGAGCTCTGTGACATGAAAGAATCACAAAGGTTTTTTTGTGGGGGTTTTTATACCTCCTGGTACCGTTTGGAGTCTCCAATCAAGATGGTGATTCTAAGCTCATCAAATATGGAGAATTTTCTCTATTTTCAATAACATTTAGCTACATTTCTTTGTGTTTTAGACCGTCAAAAGACGACATTTTAAGGCTTTGAGGAACTGACATTTTGCACGATCTAAAAATGAGCTGCAGCCCTGAATTCATGTGGCTCAAATTCACAGAAACAGTACTGATATCTAAACCTTACTCATGCAAAGATGTCTATCACATCAAAACGTTATGTTTTTAGTGTTTCTTGTGATATTCTCTACAGAATGCATATAGCAGAAAGTAACGTTGGTTTACGTTGCTTGAACACAATCCTATTATACAGAAAAAAGGAACATTTGGGGCGTTTTAGTAGCAGAGCGTCTCCTCATTTTTTAACTCTTAAAAATGCAATACTATATAACTTATACAAATTCTTGTGCAACCATCAAAACATGAGTCACGCTGTCATGATATTTCTGTTTGACTGCATCCAGAATATGAAATGCCTAGTCACAGTTTGAATATGAGCAGTGGTTTCACAAGGTTGTTTTCATATCATATTAAAATATCTCTTTTGTTAATGATTTTTAAACATTGAAAGTTACTGTACACTATCAGATGGATCTATTCACTTAATTAACAACAAATTCTACAAAAATAAGCATGCAATATAATTCAAATGTAATTTATTCAAATTAAAATGTATCATATGTTTCCTCTATGTTGACATCAACACAGAAGACTTTGTCATGGAGTAGACCGGCTCTTAGGGTTGTTTGCTGTGAGAAAGCTGCAGGCGGGCTTGTTGCTTCATCAGTGTCTTTGGCTCTGTATACCCCCCCTCAGATGCCCCTGCCATCTGCTTGTTAAATTAAACATGACCGTTTCCTGGGCATTAAGTCACATTCCCAATGAGATCCTACCATTTATCTGAGAGGGAATCCTCCAGGGGCCGTCTTAGGGATGCCAGCGCCCTGGCCCCCCCTCCTAAATCTCCCTGTCCTCCCCCTTTCCCCATTTCCCTTCTGCTTACTTGTCCCATTACTCCATCACTGATACTTCCAGCTTATTGCTACCACCTACTTTTGACAGTTCATTATTCTAATTTAAAAACAGCAGGTATCTTTTCTTATGTCTTCAAAAATCAAAAAGAGAGTCTTAATCAACTTGTTTTTTATTCCCAGCTCACTCATGTTTCTCCATGACATTTTACATACATCTCAGCTCTTCTTTTGACCTGGAAGAAGCTCGCAGCCCACTTGAAAGGCGCTTAGGGACGTTACGTTGAGATAGGCCATTACCATCCATCAGCTCCCACCTACAGTTAATGCTTTTAAGATGCAGTGAGAGGTCCACTAAGACCTGACGTTGCCCCCAGAAGGGGCAGATGGGGCAGATGAGGTAATAATAAATGGGCAAATGACCAAGAGAAGGCCAAAAAATGATGTAGCTTAAAGTTTCACTTGGTAAAATACATCTGCTGAAAGGACAGCAACCTAACCCCCAAGCCATAAGTGCGTAACTGGCACTGTGGAGGAGAAGCAAAAGCTTTCTCGCACATTAGACCAGCAAAATGTACAGGTCACAGATGGTAAGAGAAACTAAGAAAGACATATGAAATCAAGAGTTAAGGAATACTAAAATAAGAATAGGAGGAGAGAGGAGGAGAGAGCTTTCTGTGCTCCTCTGCTGCCCCTGACTGCCTAATGAAATCCATCCCACCCGCCTGCTCTTCAGCCTGCGACAAATACAGAACACTTAATGGCTAGAGATGCTTGATATGAATTATATTATGAAACAAATTAAAAACATTGCCTTGTGTATAAAGAAAAGGAGGTTTGAGACGGGAGGATTTAAAAGTAGGTGATGCAGCCGCTCCGTTTCCTTTTCATTCCTTCTTTCCTGTATAGCTAGACTGCGGCTCCTTTCACCTGCAGTACTGAAGTTAAATCTGTGCACTGAATTAGCCTCCTGCACTTCATTAAAGACAAGCGGGTGGATCAAACACATTTTGGTTATTTTCCAGAGTTTGGATCCCTGCCATGCTCACATTAATTATTATAGGAGCTCAATTTGTGATTGTCCTTCAGTGGCATTAGCAACTTATTGAATGCACTCACGCTTTCCTGAATCTCACAATTGAACACACACAAACATTAAGATACAAACATACAGTGTCCTCCAAACCATTGCACCAACAAATAGTTTAGTTTCTTATACCCCCGACATTCACTTCCCGGTATCAAGAGTGTTTTTTCTTTCTACTTGTCCAGTCTCTTTTATTATAAATTAGAATAATAGATTACCGTAATTAGGCGTTTTTCTTTATTTCTAGGGCCCAGAATCGCAAAACTTCACCAGAGGGTTGACACTCAGTAATGGTGTGATCATCAGGACTTGATGTCTGAAATCATTTAATCCTCTGTTTCATATATTAGAGAGGACATAATAGTCATCCACTTATCAAAATGGGGTATAATTAACTGTAAGAGGAAAACGTTTTCAAGATAATGAACATTATAAGTTATCCACAAACCAGTGAAATAGCAGGGGGGAGGTGATAGCTCCACTGGATGTGACTATTTTTCAAATCAATTCTCTTCTTTAACAATTGCTGTACTCTCATAACAGTTGCTCTTCCTCTCTGAGCAAGACAGATTTTCAAAAGACGCAAATGTTGGGGAGGGTCAGAACATTCGATGCATGCATTAATAGCTTTCCTTTTTAAGAAATCTGACAGACTCTGTGCTGGCTGGGAAGTCTCAAAGAGCTCAGAGAACAGGAAGAAAACTTCAAGAGCCACAGCGCTATCCGAGGAAAGCAACACAGAGAGGCAGAGGATGCTCTGTACGAGCTTTAAAGGTTTGATGTTAGCAGAGCAGCAAGCTGAACAAACTAAAGATGGCCCTCCTTTCTTTAAAGAGTGGTTGTAATAACTAAATAACAGAGAAAGGAGAGCTGCGCTTCTTTACCTTCCTGCCATCAAACTCTCTTCTCAACAACCCACATCAGCACACAGTCCAATCCAATCCACTTTATTTATATAGCACATATTAAAAACAGAGGGTTTTACCGAAGTGCTTCACAGCAGACATAACATTATAATAAAATATAATATTACAATAATAGATAAAAGGCACATAAGGGCTATGGACAGACAAATAAAAGCATAACAATCGATAAAACATAACTCAAACTGACTCGAAAGCGAGGGAAAAGAGGTGGGTCTTCAGGCGGGACACAGAGAAAATAAGAGTTCTTTAAAGGAGGACTGAGTATTTCTGTTGAAGATTGTAGCAAACAGGAATTAGGCAGCGAAGTGTTCATTGAATATTTTAAAGGCTTTAGGCCTAAGCTGTAAACAATTATTTGTTTAACTGGTAATCGTTTACCCGACAAGAAAATATGAAAATAATTAGGTAAATATTATAATTATGAATACTTTCAATCACGTTATCAAAGACATACAGTATAATCTGAGAGAGGGTTTAAGGACTTTTTAATACAATATTTAAATATATAATTATATACAACAGACTTATTAAGTCAAATGTTCTCAAATCTGAGTTTCTTAAATTTAAGAATATTACAGCATTATTTATGTCATATGTGGTTGTTAACTATACCATAAACTGTTTAGACATAAGAAATGTTGGAATAATATAACAATTAATTAGACAAAGTATATATTTTCTAATTAACTTTCTTTACTAAACTATTACCACTTTGCAGCCCTTGTAATTATTATGTACTATAAAAGGGGTCATTAATATATCCGAGCGAAGTCAAAGAAATGGGAAAAATCCGTAACAATATTAATAGCCAACATGCTTTCACAATACACTGCATCAGAATCAGCGCTCCTAATCAATGAATGAAACAACAGAAGCTATTTTAAAAGAGGACACTTTGTAAAATGTTGATGATCTACAAAACCGTACGTGCTCAGTGTGTTTCGGCAGCTCTGAACAATACTCTCATATTTTCTAGGAAGTCACCATTCAAACTCTATTGAAATAGAAATGCTGAAAAACTATGTTTTCACTTTCCTTTTGAGAATATTGATTTATTTAATCCAAATGACCATGGAAATTGAAGGGCATGAGCCACTGCACTCCTACAATACAGAACATGAGTCAGAACAATAAGTGAGAATTCTGCAGAAAATTGTATCTATTGTAAATGACAAGAATGAATGTTTTTCAAAAGGTAATCCACAATGTAGGAAGCCATTCAAGTTTCAAGAAGGAGGAGGCAAATGTAGTAACATAGTTTTCTGTGTGTGTGTGCGTGCGTGCGTGCGTGCGTGCGTACACATGATGTACAGTATATACTGTGTATGGTTTCTTTGTATTCTTGATAGGAGCAAGGTAAGAAACAGTCTTCATAGGCTTGTTCAAATGACTTTTTCTCTATAGATGTTTTTATCAGTATCGTCAATACTTCACCTCCAGATAATCTTGATAACTATCACGGTCAATCCATTCCTGTGTGCTCTCGCTCTGCTTTGAAAAGCCTGAATGGAACTTGTTGTGTGCATGTATTTTACTTGGTGTCACAAAGTGCATTCTCTCAGCTGACATCAAATCCCTTGACCTTTACAATGCCTCTAGATCATGTTTTGGTGTGAAACATTCATTGCTTTCTATACGCAGCTCCACTTCAGCTGTTACTCATGAGACTGCTGCAGCGATGGTTTAACTTTGGATGCTTTTAGCTTGATAGGAGCAGCAAGAGAAGAGAGTAATGTGTTTGAACAGTTCTCTCTGGCTGTAAACATCCTTTAGCACGAGGATCCCAATTAAGCTGCATGTTGTTGTTGCATGTTATAACCTAGGAACATTCATTATTGGCTGATGAACTGCACAAATGGGACAATATGCAAAATAAACTAGAGCTACTTTACAAAAGCACACACATCCAGATGATAAATACTAGGTGCTGGACAGTAGAACATGTCAAAAATGGTCTGCACATTGAACAAACATGTGTACCACCAAGTGACGTTTTGAATATCAAGACCACAAAAAATAAAACTTTGTTACACTTGAACTCTTCATGTTATGAAGATTGAAGACATTTATTTACTATGCCAAATAACTGTCTGTAATATTTCATCACAAATCAGACTGTAGCTTCATTTTTACTGCACTTCCACCAAGAGGGTGTGAAGCTATTCTTTGCTTTTAGCATAATGTTTTTACTTTAGTTTAAAACTGATACACTTTTCGGCTTGCTAATTAATCAAACCTACAACCCATTTTTTATAAAAGATACCTTGTCAGACTCAAAGGGCCAGATGTACTATAAAAATGTTGATGTTTTTGCACAAATATACACTAAGAGAGAGAAGAGATCCATAAAAACAGCCTATATTTCTGCTAGGCTAAAGTACAAATGCAGCAAATCTACAGTAGCTTGAGTTGCTTGTGTAAACAGCTCTATAGAGGAGCTTTTCAAAAAACAAACTGTGTTTTATAATAAAAAGGAAATTAGGTTGTTCAGACAGTACTTGAAGCATTGACTTGTATAGAATACAGATGTAGCTGAAAGGTTATAACTAGCCACGGGTGTCTCAGCCTGCTTTGACTGAAGGTAGAACTTGTCGGCCACAAGCTGGGCTTTCCCACCAGGCGTTTTCACAACCTGTATGTATCAAGTCAGCACCATGTCCGAGGCCCAGTGGGGCGTAATGGAGAAGGGTTTCTGTAATCCTACGAGCAGTTATACTGTAGGTGTTTTCATGTCAGACTCTGTAAGTGACCGAGGCTCTCCAGGCTCTTTGTAGTCTGTGTTCCCTGAGGGAGAGAGAAAGACATCGTTTTGTGACCCTTCAGTCCAGTGTAGAGCTCAGGTGTGGAAACCTGTCTGGCAGGAGGGCACAGGAAGTCGTAGGCAGTGGGTTATATGTTTTAATTGAATAGAAAACAAAATGGAAAATAATTAGCCTTCATTACATCATTACATGTTAGGGAAATCAGGGTTACCAGGAAAACATATACACTGTATTGGAAAAAAAAGGCACTGATATCTGTATCTAATAAATTGAATGTGGTTTGTTTTAAATGTCACTTATTTTTGTTACATAATGCCCCGTGGGTGGCAGTTGTGTACTGTTTGAGAGCCTGTAGTGTTTTACTGAAACACTAACCAGTTGTAACAATGTCTCTGTTTAGCACCGTGTGAATCCCTCTCATGGAACATAACTGCCTTTTTCCCTCCGTTTCTGTCTCTCGGCTCCTCTGGGGCAGTGGCCCCTAATTAGAAGCAGGGCTGCTGGACAGGCGCTTTCTTTAACAAGGTGAAAGTAACTGGATGGGACTAGCATAAACGAGGCAGAATATCAACAATGTAACTCCTGTCTGAGCCCCTACAAGTTTGGAGAAATAGTGTTTAACATACTGTTGGAATGGCAATCTGCTGTTGCCTTATCCCCTCTTGCAAAGCTGTGAAACGGTCCTTCTCCTGCAGAATATATAAATCTATCTGTGCTTCGGAATCGAAAAATTAAACATAGGGGCAGGCGCTTGGAAAATGAAAATGTAAATCTGACTGGGAAAAGCATTTGAGGTTTCTTTGCTTGGAGGAGAAAAGAGATCTACACCAGTGACTCCTGGCTATGTTTGTGAGCTTTATCATTTGGCTCCTATTCTATCTAATAAGCCTAAACAAGCAGCAGTGCCGTTCGAGCAGTGGGTCTGTTCACTGTGAAACATTTAGTGAACTCTTCAAGGTTGCATCTCCCATCACTGTCTCAGGCTTGGAGCTCTGAATGAAAGGAGACGGAGAACAAAGAGAAGCAATTGAGTCTGTATCTTTGTAAAAAAACAAACATTTAAAGTAAACTTTTGACTACGTTTAAAGATGTAGTCTCTTATGTAAAAATCTAGCTGGCTTTGGTTTGCGGATGAACTCATTGTGTATTTTACGTTTTGAAAAAAGAAAACCCAACAATTCAAATGGCTTGATCATACCAGTTTTCATTGCTCTAGTGCAGTGGAAGAAATTCTTTGAAAAAGGAGATTAAAACCATGTGATCATTTTAATTAGATCATTAGCCGAGAATTAAGATCTATGTTTGTAACTCTCATTAACACAAATACCAAGTGGGTGCCAAGAAAGATGTGTGCATTACATTCGATGTATTTTGATTTCACAATGTTCTCGTCTCGTTGCAGCATTTTTCTGCTTTTGTTCCTGCTGTCAGTACATTTTTGTTTGCTCTTTTATTGCATCAAGGTAAAGGGAAGGTGGGTTAATCTCTGTCTGTGCTCTCTGTCTTCCAGGCTCTTTGGTACAACGGGGAATTGCGCAGCCTGCAGTAAACTGATCCCAGCCTTTGAAATGGTGATGAGAGCCAGAGATAATGTTTACCATTTGGACTGTTTTGCCTGTCAGCTTTGTAACCAGAGGTAAGAATGAGCATCATAACTGCACAACAACATTGCCTTTGAAAAAAAAGGGAGTGATAAAATGGCCAATAGCTTAAATATTAAAAGCTGTTGAAAAAGCTATTATATTATAACAGACCACTGAACAAGTCTCAGTTAGAAAAAAAGGTTGTGTGGTATTTTAAAATGAAGGTGTACTGCATTTTTAATGCTCTGGTAATTATTACCTACTGCGACACTGAAGCAGTTTGTGGCTGAAACTGTAAATCTTTTAATCCAGAAAATTCAAAAATTAGCGTGTGTTCTTATGTCTGCTAGGAGCTATGGGAGCTATAAAAAAAAAGGTACTGTGCTGCAGCAAGGGAGACCGGACCTACACATGTGTGAAATGGTGTTTCATAGTGATAGGATCTATTAGGAAATTGGACTGAGCACAGAGCTTATGGTATGATACATATAGAATATGACATACCCAAATATTGCTTTTTCCCATTAATATACTGTCGTTAATGGCAGCACTCTGGGAGCAGAACGTCCTTTGCATGCTTGTCAGGGGTGCTGTGACCCTGTTCCTCCACACAGCACAAGCCCATTAACCTTCTGCAGGCCACATTCAGTTACCATAGTGAACACCTGCTGTAAGGGAATTATGACTGCAGCCTCTCTTCTCAGCTGGTACACATGAAGCAGGTCTCATCTGGCACAGCATACAGTAGCCATGGCTGTGACCGTTTTACCAGCCTTTCTCATTACTAAAGCCAAGCTATGCTCGACCATATTCTTATCTTCACTCCCCTTCAGTCACATTACGGAGCTGTCTCCACTGTGTCACACAGACAAACAGCAGCATGGAGAAGAACATCAGTCGGGCAGGCTGTTACGTGGTATCTTCCCTCTGGAATTGACTTTGAGGCTTCAGAGGAAAAACATTCTTAGGCACTGAAACCAAACTGATGTGTGAAGAAGCTAACCCTATGTTAGCCCCTTGGTGCCAGCACCTTTTTGCCAGGCCGGGGAGAGTTGACCTGTGCTTGTGTCTGTTTGCTTTGAAATTATAGGGTTTTAATCCACTTTTATTTTAAGCCACACTTTTATGATGAACATCAAAACAGGCTTTGAATCTGACAAGGCGTAGTGTCAGGGTTCGTCAGGTGAAACATCTCAAACCTACAGTATGTGAGCTATCAAACAGGAACATCATTACCTGCTGATCTTAAATGCATCATTTACACTGCCAGAGCAGAGTCAGCCAGCCACGCATGCAGACACACAAACACCTCTTTGTCTAATAGCAACATAAATCGTCTTTGTGTTTTTAACAACAGTTCCGCCTTTGTGCTTCTCTACCAACAGGTTTTGCGTGGGGGACAAGTTTTTCCTAAAAAACAACATGATTTTGTGTCAAATGGACTATGAGGAGGGCCAGCTGAATGGAAGCTTTGATTCACAGGTTCAATAGTTGGAGCCTGGTGGCAGCAACAATCAGCTCCACACTTCAGCTACACACGAAATGGATGTTCTGCTGCACTTGGAAAAAGACAAGCGTCTGTCTGCTTGCCTGCAATACTTTTTAAGACCCCTTTATCAGTCCCTAAGGACTCTATTGTAAATGTTCAACTTTTTGCCCCTCCCACACCCCAACACTGAGCAGTTACAGATTTTGATGTACAGTTGTGCCTGCTTAGCTGAGCACTGTATTGCTTGTATGTTTTGTGAAATTTGTTTCCGGTTGGTTTTAATTTCCTTTTAGAAATGGTTCATTGGAGGGTATGTACAGTCTGTTTTCTCTGTATATATAAACTGGAACATTTATTTTATGAAATGTAATGCAATTTTATTACTAGTGTGAATTAAAGATTCTTAAATGTTCATATAGTGAGTTTTTTTCTCTTTTACCAAAACCAAAGTTGTCGGAGGAAGTCGGCTCACGTGTTGATATGTAATCATGTCTCCAAAAAAGGCAATGCTAGAAAAAGTTTTGCAAGAGAAAATATATTTGAAGACAGTCTTCAATACATGATGCAACAAAACACGTTTTATTACATTTTTCAGAGTTCTGATGGAATTAGAAATGCTGTTTAAAATGAACTACTTAAGATTTATTGGGAATAAAAGAATGCTTCTCCAAACTGTGTTGTTGTGAGCGTGCAGGTGTCATGAAAGGAAGTGCGTTAAGCTGAGCTGCTCTCCGTCAGTCATGCTTCACTAATTGCCATCTGATTAAAAGGGTGAATCGGCCTGGAAATGAAATGCAATAGCAGATAAATTAGAGAGAAAATAAATGCTTATTGAGTTTGAGATCATTTGAACTCATCAGCAATAGAGGGGCAGAGCTGTAATAAAAAGTACTTTTCCCAGAAGACTGGTTAATGAATATTGTCAAATATTTAGCTGATCCTCCAAGTGATAATTCATGTCAATGAATTTGCTTATCACATGTAGTTGTGTTAATAAACAAAGATATACTTTTTTTGGGATCTATCTTTAAACAAGAAAAAGGAAAACACTGAGAAAGAATCATTTGAAGATAATTTCCTGCAAATAACACCATGTACTGTAAGTGATTAACAGCTTTGTTTCTATATTAATTAAGCAGCTCATTGTGCACTTCTGATTTCTTCAAGAAATATCACATTATTCCAGATGTAATTAACTTTAATGGACTAAAAACATGCAAGAAAGGTTTATGACCGCAGGGTGTGCTGCATTCTTTATCAGACCTTTTTTGATCTTAATTATTCTACTGATAATTAATACGGTAGTTTATTTTGGATTTGGGTCACAAGAAGCTGAACCAATAACACATTAGTTCATTACAGGACTGAAAGTAAGTTATTTTCATTTAATCAAAAATCCAAAGGTTGTAAGTTTACAATGATGATGTCAAACATATAAAAGTAAGAAATTATGGTAACATAAAAGTGGAACTCATTTTTGTGACCAAATAGTTATTTTTTTTGATTGACTACATGATAAATTGAATAATTTATTCTAATTGGAAATAGCAAACATCATTCTTTTAGAGAGAAAAAATAACCTAAGCAGAGGTCAAATTGGCTGTTAGATCATATGATCCATTTAATTTAAGTTCAAGTTCTTTGACAGGTAACATGCCATACGTCAGTCTGGACAGAGGTCTCAAGGCTTTAATTTCACTCTGGTACCTTTGACATCAGATGTTACCAAACCTCATATGTGACATGTTAGATCCTACCTCACTTTTTTTTATTCAATGGGATGTCGTAAGTGCCACCAAAACAAAGTGTCATACACACCTAGCTCTGGATATAAAGCCAAAGATGGCTCAGCTGAAGAGCATGGAAATGGCCAACGACAATAAGAGTCATAACACATTTTATTTGTCAAACCTCTGCTGCTGTAGTATCTCTGTTATTATTATTCAACCCACTATTTGTCTTACTTGTTGTTGAAAGGGGGCAGACTATAGATTTCAACCCATGTGTGACATTCTGTAGACACGTCTCTACCAGCAGGATACAGAACAGCAAGATAATTTGCTAACACATAAATCAAGTGTGCAAAGAGCATTAATTAGAAATTCATTAAAAATGCACACTCACCGGCAGGTGTGCAAATAAAGGATTAGGTAGACATCAATTATACTACATAAGAGCATTTTAATTGCAAATCCTGGATTGATTTACGGAGGGAAACAATCATGCTCTGTGCAATATGACTGATTGCTCATTTTCCGGAGAAATAATGAGGAAAACACCTCACCAGGTAAAAATGTCCCGAGCTGTAAATGTATACACACATACAGATTCATAAGTGTATGTGTCTGTCATGCACAGACACATGTAGGCTTACATATGAGTGTTCATATCTGCCTAAAAAACAAGCAGACATGCACACACACAATTACAAAACATGACACACAAAGGCATCCTCCTTACACACATAAATACACATGCACCGCAGCTTGGCATTCCCATCTGCTTGTGCTAGTGCAGAAAGTTCTTAAGCACCAAATGTTGTGCTGTTATGACTCAAGTTTGTGAATCCTCCAACCTCCTCTGTGTTCCTGATTACTGCATTATGGCATCTGCTTAATTAGCTTGGCTTGTGTCATATGTTGCACACGAGGGGGTGTTAAAAAGTGCCCTTCCCTCTCGCTCATTATCTGCCTCGATTCATGTGATGTATAATCTCTCTAGACAGACATTCGTATTGACATAGGGACAGCTGTCAGCAAAGCATGGTCATAAAAGGTGCATGAAGAATAAAAAACCACAAGGAAGGCAGATGAGTGAAAAGGCTGCCAAATTTTTAAGTGAAACTACTGACTCTGTGTTTCACTCTGGATCCATCAACACTGCAACAGTTCTAATTATACTAGATTTAATTTTATGGATGAGAGTTTTTTTGGGAGAAGGGACTGTTTGAAGGCAGTGCATTTTGATTACTACAGGTAATATTCAAAGTAGCCTCCTGCCGGTGTATTTTCAAAATGATGGTGGTGTCCAATTCTTGGCGAGGAATCAACCTCATTATTGCCATGAAGGAGAATTCTAATCATTATCTGCCCGACAGCTCTGGACAATCATTTCTATCCCACAATATGATACTTGCTTGATGGGAACGAGTTTGTAGATATGTCCCTTCTGTACAATTAAAGTATCCATGATGATCAAAAATCATGTCATTATTGGAATAATGAACTCGACAGGAAAGTTGTACCAGAACCGACGAACCAGACACGCTCTATTGAGAGCCTTTTATGATTTCACATAACCTGAAGGCCACCACAGTATCTCTGACGTGTTCAGAAAGAGTTAGGTGAGCAGAGAAGTGTTCACTTGGTTGCAATCTGAAACCTCACTGCTATGCCGCTTATTCTTACACACATGTTGGCCTGCTGGTGGCACTAGAAGAAATGTAACCAAAATCATTTAAATGTATTCTTCAATACAAAAAAAAAGTAAAGGCCCATCAAGGTGAATCAAGTACAGGGCCATGAACGTCCATACCATGCCACCATGGCTTAATACATACCCATCAAATAAAAATAATGAAATGCCAAAAGTGTAAATATGTGTCATAAGTCTGAGTTTTAGTCCTTTGCTTGTTAATCATGTTAAAGGAAGTTGGGATGTAAAGGGGTTGTTGCGAGAAGGTTATTTTCTTTCTTTGCTGCTTCATACAAAATGGCTGGGGAAGATTCCATTGTTTGGAATGACAGTATTAGATAAATTGCCACCATTAAGTGGGTACGTGTGGCATTGGGCCTTTGATTGTTTTGTTTTTTTAAAAAGCAGATAATCTAAAACAACTAAGTGATGTTGGAACCAATTAGTTTAGTTGACGTATTTCTATGTGTTTAATGTTTATTATTTATCAATTTGAATGGAAAATCTATTCTCTACTCATGGGCCATTATGCTGTCCTTCAAATAAAAAGCTTTGACCTCAGAGACAAATCTATTGCATTTGTTTTAAAACGGGCTGAAAACAGTTATCTTAAATAAATGAAAATATGAGCAGAGACGCTATCTGTGGTCAAGTGACTATTTTCAACTTGAAAACAAAATGATTTTGACACCCACTCAAAAACCTCAACATATGTTCCATTGATGCCTAATGGGTCTGCATGAGCTATGCTCAACAGACTGGAGAGGGCAATTAGTGGCATGAGGCTTTGATTAGCGCCGATTCCACAACAGTGCTTGGAGGAATATAGAAAACAAAATAATACATTACTGCTGAAGCTCTTTTTCACATAATGCAATGAAATTGGAGAAACTATTCAACTCCATGGTAATAACAGGTAAATGTGAACACATTAACTATTGCATGGTGCCCTCGGCTAAGATTATGCATATTCTACCTACAAACAGCCTGTGCCAAGCAATGCATATAAAACTGAAATAAATGGCTACAGATGCATGAACTTGCCCTGAAAGAGGTTTGCTTACTCTGTGATCTCATTCTTAAATGAAACCAATTTGCCTAGAAATTGGTTCTAAGGCCTAATGCTGAACTCTGTACATCAGCTCTAACACACACACACACAGACACACAAACAGACACACACACATGGACACACACACACACTTTAGCTTTCACAAACACACTTTCACAGTCACACTGCTTCAACCCTTCCACCCCTTCCCTCGCTGCAAATCATGTTTGACTTTGAAGTGCTAATTTTGGAAGTTTAGCCAATTTTTATTTGCTGCTTTGAAATGTATCCCCTAAGCTGCTGCACCAGCAATGAAATATACAGACCTTTACAATGAGGGATAAGTGACCAAAATAAGAAGCGCCTGGTTTTATTCCTAACATTATATAACTGTGAATAATCCCCACATAGCATTTTCTCCCATGCCATCAGTGCCTCAATGTATATTCAAAAATATTATGCAGACTTTTTACTTTTTGCTCATTCCACAATCCTTCCTAAAGTTGGAGCTCATTTAAGATATCTATAATGCAATGCTGAAGACAAAACCCTAAAGCATTTCCACATTATTATTACTGTGCTTTATCAGTGTGTGTGAACAGAAAGGACATAACTAAAATAGGGACAGTAAAACAGTAACTAAGAAGATGGTTGCACTTTATAAATGTATCAGGATTTTGCTAACAGGACACTTGATGAGTCTGATTATGGAATGATGAATGATATCATTACTGTATTTCTTTGCAGGTGAAACCACATTGTAGGCCTTATTTCCTACCTAAGTCATATCTAAACCCTGACAGTGAACCACAGTTTGATCAGTTAGCCTGTGGATGGGTATGTTTGATGTAATTCGCATCAGCAACATAAACATAAAAATTACTTTACAGTTATGTCTTTTGAGCTTTTTCCCTCTCGTGTACCAAACCATAACAATTGGGGGGAAAAAGGCCATGGTAACAAACACAGCAGCGTTTACCGCCGTGATGGATGCAAGGATGACCTCAATCACAATCCTTTCTTAACTGCTTTCAGCGAGAGCTGGAGCATTATATAGTCAAATAAGTTGATCAGATTGGCTCCTCACCAAGCAGCCCAGCTAATAACATGGAAAGCAAAGAGCTTGAGGGAGAGAAGATTTGGAAATGGGGGCCCCTCCACTTTTCAGTGCTGCTCTGCTTTAAGAGTGTCCTGGACTTGGCAATAA